CCCACACACACACACACACACACTCCATGTTAGCTGCCTTGAGTTGTTTACTCTTTGTCCTTTAAGAGGAGTGGTGGGGTCTGAGGTCATGGCTGATTCTGTGGAGAAGATGGGAAAACCTTGCAAGGCCTTTTTTAAGAGGAGGGAAATGCCAACACGTGCTAAGCTTTACAAAACAATGGACAGTTGAACCTGAGGAGGAAGAGCTATGTGGCAAACAAGCCTGTGACCTGCCGTTAAGCATCCAGAGGAGACAATCCAAAGAACTCAGGAGGCTGACTGTCAGTTTTTTATGTTTCCTTGCCTCACTAATACTAAAAATCCCTGATGAAACCAATCTAAGTGTGAATTTTACAAGGTGAAGAATTCACATTTTTCACGTTTTTGAGCTTGTGAATCCATATGCGGCCCACCAGAAAACCAACAGTGAAGCTTTCGACACATCTGCTTCACATCTGTGTATCGATGAAYACAACATTCAGATTCGGATCTTGTGTTATATTCACGTGCACTAAATGTGACAGAATTCTGATTTTTAGAATAAAAGGATACTTTAACACATCTGCATGCAAAGGTTGTTCTTTTCTTTATCTCCACTCTGCTCTTCAAGGTACAATTCAAATAGGTTGTTTATTTAGATTAAACTTAAACTAAAAGTTTATGGGTTTTAGACGCTTCGTGGTTTAACATTACACATCTCACTGGCTTTAATCTGCAGAGCACCAGATCTGTTTGTTTGGCTTGAGCTCCTGCCATCCCTGGAAACTGCAATGCATATGTATTAGAATCAGTTTCAGTCTTAAATTACACTTTCTGATGGTTGAATAAGAACTAAACATTTTTTCATTGTGATTTTTTTTTCTTTTTAAACATTTGCTGCATTTAAGCTGGGTACCTGGCAGAGTTTGGAATAATTCTGACCCATGTCWAATTGTTTATTTGAGGTAAGGGATTTAGTTAAATGTCTTGTTAATCATTAGGTCAGTGTACTTTACTTACTTTGCTTTGCTTTGGATGTAATGGTTGCAATAATACTAACAATATCCTGACATAAATTAAACAAAAAATCTCAATGTAGCACAAAAACACGTTGTGGAGGTGAAAAAAACAGTTGCATTAAATACGACAATGGTTATAATTTTGTACCAGACGGCTTTGTGCAGCGGTCAGACACTACCATCAATGCAAGATCTGAAAAATTAATGCAATATTGGATGGAAATAAATCGTGTGACATTGAGGAAGCTTATCCAAACAATGCGTATGTGCGCCGTAATCAAAGCTAAAGGTGGTCCAATGAAATATTAGTGTGCACTTTTTTTCTGTGGCCACCTTTTTAAAAATTTTTTGGGCAGGCATTGTATGTTTACATGGACACGAGTAATCGAAATAAACTGCCAATTGCAATTAAAGCACATGTAAATGCCCCGATCAGAATATTCTGATCTGATTCAGCTCGATCAAGAATGAATTTGCAATCTGAATGTGAGGAGTGGTTTATGATGATTGAGGAAAACTGACCTGACTGTGCGCCCTATGTCAATCTGACGTATTTCCTCCCGGCTAGATGCTAATATGTTGGGGAAGCTAAACTGGTCAGTTAGCGATGCAACATTTCTATTAGAAATTTTGAAAGAGCTAAAAAATTATTGAATGTCTTGATGGTTGAAAGTGTAAGAACAGAGGTATTACCTCCGCCAAGTGGAGGAGGTAAKGTTTTCGGTCGTGTCTGTCAGTCTGTCATTCTGTCATTCTGTCTGTGGACAACATTACTCAAAAACTTGTGGACGGATTGYCATGACATTTTTACCACATGTGGATACTGGCCCAAGGAACACACCTGTAAATTTTTGTGATGTTCTGGGTCACGATGCGGATACAGGAATTTTTTTCTTTTAATTTGAGCGAATCAAGCAGGCTAAGCAGTGTCATTACGTCAGACGCAYGCCTGTAYGAAACAGGAAGTACAAGTCGCWAACTCCCTGGGRCTACACATCCCASGATGTCTACTATCACGAAAGTTGTGATTATTCTGTTATCAACTACTTCTGGCGATGTCACWTGCTGTCTGGMGACGTAGAAAAAGAAATGTGATTCTCTTCATGTTACGGGAATAACAGGACACCRACAGCGGGAGGAGGGTCCTGCTGCARTCGAGCCAAAGCTGGACTGTCTGCGGGAACAGCTGATCAACCTTGTCAGGTACCCGCTCCATWTAAGAACTTTATTGTGTGATTGCTCTGAAG